AACTCATCTTAAAGATTAGAACTGCTTATTTATATACCTTTCATTATCTAAACCTAACCACAAAATAGCTGAGAAGAAAGAACCTGCCAGAAAGAAAATACACGATTAGTAATTATGTTACCCAAACCTAGTACCAGTTTTTTCTTTATAAAGCAACTCTGCTCAGTCATAAGTTCTAAACACTGATCTATTATGTTATTTTTTCTGGTAAATTAACCCTCCTTAAATTCAATGATCAGTACTACAAAGTGAAAAAAGTCAACGATCTCAATGATCTGTGAAATTTCAAATCTCTGTAACATATAAATTTTGATAAAACTACTAATTAAGAATATTATATATATTACCTTTATAGCCTTTTTAGCTTCAAAGAAGTGCCTTTATAAGGCAAGTCCCATTCTTATTGTAGGATCATATAAAGTAAGACTTTTTAGATATTGTATTCATTATAAATCAATTGTGAGAATTAATTCTGTAGAAATGTGGTACAAACTATTCAAGTAACTTGTATCACAAACTTTATTTTTTATACAATATACTATAATAGTGTAATTTATTTTTATACGTAAAATTGCATATTAGGCGAATATCTACATAATGTTTTATACATAGCTGAATCAACTATCATAGGATGTAGGAATATTTATAGCTTAGAGGGTCCCTAAAAACAAATATGAGGCTAATCCTCTTTATTTATATTTTCTATACAGGAAGGTTGGCTACCTCCTATATCGAGCATACTAATATTACTATTATTTTGTGATGCAGAAATATTAGAGGTTGAGATAGTATTTGCTAAATTAGGTAAAGATAAATATGTCGCATTATCTAAATTTCTACTTACATCATTAGTGTTATAGCCTGAATTCCTATCTGTATCATTTATATTACTTACATTATCTCAATTAGTAGTTTTATCTCTTCTGGTGGGATTTCTTCAGGTCGGGGATATAGATCGATCCCTTTGACCAGTGAGAAATTCATGGCGACTCATATTTATCATTGATGAAACTTCTTTATAAGTTGGTAGTGGAGTGTGATTTCGCCATCTTTTTTCTCTTCTTCTCGAGAATGCGTTTACGTTATGTATTTGATTAAACTGTATTTCTAGATTTTTTTATACATAATTAACAAATTAATAATTTGTTTCTATTTCAAAGATACCTACAGCAAAGGCAAACGAATGTTCGAGATTAATATAGAACCTTACCTGGCTCTCTCAAAAACATGAACGTAATTCCTCAAAGTATCATACTCCAGTTCTGGTTCTATGCCCTGCACAATTTCCTGCTATATATTGGCATATCAACTAAAAAGGATCAAGAAAATCATTAGGTTATAACCTAATTATAGTTCAATCTGTTAATAAGTGCCTTTAGTAAAAATACTTACAGTATGATCTCTTACAAGATTTTGAAATTTACCCTTGCATTGATATCCCATATAGTTGGCACTAAATCTCTCATTAATTATATTCGCAATATTATTTCAAAAACTCACCCTACTACTTCCAGGAATATCATGATACTTAGCATTTCTATTTCTTCTTTTAGCAATTAATAAGTGCAATTGATCCTTGTTCCACATCACTAAGATTCTAATGTGACTCAACTGTGATACACCTGTTTTTCATAGAATTATATAGAAAAAAAATACTGCAACTCAACTGTGACTCAACAGTGATTAGTATCATTAGCTGATACAGCCAAATTAATTATCAGATAATCATAGTATAATATTCTAAAGAAGTATGATTTTTATCACATCTTAGACCCAGTGATCCAAAATAAAAAATTTCATATAGAATAGAAATCGAAAAGAGGAAGTAAGTAGTTAGAATTACATTAAAAATTTATTAATATATGCACATTAAACAATAATCTAAAAGGTCGAGTCTCTGATTTTTTGTAACATATAGTGTAATATTTAAAAATCAAATAAGTATAAAACAAATTTTAGGTTTGGTGATTAATTCATTCACAAATTAATTAGTATGAACTGGGAGAGTCAAAGACTTGATCCAAAGGATTATTACCCAATCTTCTTTGCTCTTGATTTTATAAACTTTTTCGATTTTCTTCTTTAATATAATATGTAATATATATTATGAAATAATGGCACTTACGTGCCTGATCAAACATCTGTATTATGCAATTGATTTTATTACTAGACATATCAAAAATTTCTTGGTATTTTTTATTGTATTAATAAAACAATCGGGCCTAAATGGTTATAGCTACATAGTACAAAGTTTTTAATACATGCTGATGATATTGTAAATATAAAAACCTAACTAATGGATTCTACTATAATATGAATATATTCTGTTACAGGCTTTTTATCAAAATAATTACTAACTTTATCTTGCAATTTCATATCTTTATATGTTTTGGCCTTGGAATCGGATACTTGAATATTAAAAAAAACATTTTTAAACTCTTCTAGAAAGTGCTACTAAATTTTTGCTTTTACATAATCAATAGATTCTTTTTCAAATATGACAAGACCATACCTAAGATAGCTAGTTGGAAATCCAAAAAATCTATAGATAGAGATAACAAGAAACTCAATATTAAATTGTTTGCCCTTGTTTCCCAAATCCACAAGAGAATCATAATCCTAAGTAATACATTATTAGTAAAGACTGAGTATGAAAAATGTAGAAGAGTTTTACTATATCATATATCTACTATTTTTTTTTTTTCTTCTGATATGAATAAAATGAAAGCATGATTTCGCTCATATATATATATGTTTTGAGTTGGGGATTTGTATCTTTGCTATTACATATATATCATTTTGAATTACTAGATCTGAGATATACAATTCTGTAATAGACAATTCTGATATCTATGCATGCTGAAAAAATTAGTAAAAAAATGATTTACAAAGCCATTCTTCACTATTTTGAGAAAGCACTTGAGGGATAGTTCAATTACTACAAAAAACAATTCTAAACATATAGCTCAAGGGTTAGTTAATAATGAGGTTACTACTGTAAAGCTCTAAATTCACTTGATCTTATTGACCCTAATCTCATTAAATAAATCATAAATCTTTTGGGCTCACTCTTTTATTTTTCAAAGCAAGCTCTAGCTAACCAATAGAAGTTGAATTCTAACCTCCATAGCAACTCTCAAGATATTGGGCACAAATTAGAGAGTATACAAAGCAGCAGCAAGAAGACAAGGTTTGATAGTTTATCAGTCACACGATTTGTCACACAAATCATATGACTTATGTTTTAAATATAAATTATGAAGATCGACATCCCTATGATCGACACCTTTTTTGATAGTAAAGTGTAACAATATATTTTTTAAATTACAATTTTTGAAGGGTTAATAAAAGGAAACTGCACTCACGAGATAAGGTTTAGTGAAACACAAAAACAAATACTTTTGCGAGGTCAAATTTAAAGCGAGATAAAAACTAGGACTAAGAAACATCACAAACATAAAGTTGACCTTTTATTTCAATTTTATATATGCAAGAAATCTCGTCCATTTTTTTTTTAATTCAAAAGTAGATCCATGTCGTAGCAAGTATTGTAAAGCCCAATCTCCAATACTTACGAACCAATCTCAAAAGTTTAAACCTAATATTCCGTAAAACTTGGCTGATTATGCTGCATGAACCATACGAATAGAATTTATTGAAAGGTTCCTAATTGCGTTAAGAGAATATGCTAAAAAAAAAAAAAATCCTATTAAAACGGACTGGGTTTGAGTTCTTTCTTTTTTTTTTATTTTATTTATTTATTTAACTATAATGCTGATTTATGAAGTTATATCTAAAAATGTTAACTTTTTTATTACCTGTTACTAGTTAGGCCGTTTGAGTTCTTTTTTCAGTTTTTATGCGGAGGGAGGAGGGGGAAAAATTAAACAAACAGTATCTGGTATTTTAAA